AAATGTATGTAAAGTTACAAAGTTAATTATATGTTTGCTACTTATTATGTGTAATCAATTTTATATTCATACTGATATGAAGAGTCAAAGCAAAATGCCTGAATTAGAAGTGATGAACACTGAGGTAAGGAGAGCTGGCAGATAAGCTCAAGAAAAAGAATCATGAATATCTCTTTACACATGAGTTTTCCTTGTGCTGAAGTAAACTGTGTGCCCAGTTTACTGGGAATTTCAAGTTCCTTTCCTAACCATGTATTCTTCATGGTCCATACCATATAAATACATAGAATAAATGCCACTACTACCTTCTCTCTGATAGGATCACATATAACTTATTCAAATCTCAGCTAACATAAAATACATCAGATATTGAGAGTATTTTCAATCTAATTATTTTCCAGTTTTCCTTTTTTTCATCCATCACAACATGATTTTCTGTGATCAGTGATGTCTGACAAATTAGAGCTTAAAATCACTTTGTTCAAGCATATATCAAAGTACTTATATTTGACCAGACTATTGTATAAAGCTGTAAAATCCAAATTTTTGCATTTTGCCTATGCCCATGATTCTTCTGGTATTATGAACAAAAGTGATAAGTGTTAAGTAATTAAATGTATATGTTCCTTTCCCAAATTTTATCAAATTATTATGCTTCAATGATGTGTTCATGCTAAATAAACAAAGCTTACCATAACAACTCAACAGTCCATGCCACACAGCATTTATACGCCAGCCTTGGTACACACTGAGCTTAACCCTTTGATTCAGGAGTCCTGATTTCCTGACATGCCATCCTACTACAGAATGCATTAGTGGTAAAGTTGAAACAACAAATCTGCTRGCATGAAGGAATAAAAAAGTAAGTAGTTAATTGAAGATACACTAACTTATGTTATTGAAGATAATTCTCTATGTATTSTAATCAAGATAAAGTTCAAAGTCTGACTTTATGAAAATAAACTACTTAATTAGAGACATTACAGAGAATAAAAAGAGCCAGGCTTTTCATAGATCTGGAGGCAAAATAAAATAAGATTATAAATAGCTGTCCAAATTACTATGCTATACAACCTACAGTAGTATGTGAATCATGGACCAAGCAGGGGAACCAAGAGTTGACTACCTGGTATAGGGGAAATAATTCTAACTCTGGACGCCAACACTCAGGTAGGGTAGTAAATAGGCAGTATTCACTTCTGATTTATGCTTCTGCTCTGCACAGGCCTTGGAGAACCACAAGTTTCTTGTGACTGCAAATGTAACAAGACATGGCCAGTTTTAGACCAATCCTAGATGACATTAGATTCTTCAGTGGCCATAGGACAGTTATTATTTTGCAACAGAAGAGTGATCTACAGGTTCTAACACTCAAAGGGACATTTTCCTTATTACATGTACTCTGGAAATCTGATGCTATAAAAAGGAGTTAGTTCCATGAAAGCAATCAGCTCACTTCACCATGGATTGCCCCAATCACAGTTGCTCCAGAAGAGAAAAAACGTTCTGAAATAAAAATTTGTACCACAGAAGTCTCAACCTTACTATTGCAGTATGTTTTTTTCAGGATGCACAGGAAGAAAGTAAATGCTATTATCTCATTATACTCAAGTTAACATTACCCTCAACTCTCATCACAATCCCTACTTAACTATTCTGCAATGTGTCATTAATCAATGTATGTACTGATTGGATCCATTCAATTCATGCATCGTGTAATGAATGGCATATATAAACATGTTTCAAATACATTTATTCGGATATCTATACATGAAAGTAAAATCACTACTACAATTGGTACTCAAGCTTGTCAGATGGCCTCTTTTTCTCATTCTGTTTTGCATAAGACATGCTAATGGTTATGCCATCTGCAGTCTGAAACCCAGAAAAATGTAAATCAACGAATAGTTGATCAAGATAAGCATCTACATAAAGCTAATTTTTTTTTTTGCAGCAATTGTGTTAACTCACAACCTAAATATAAAATTCTGCCTTCTGAAAAACATATATAGAACTTGCTAGTAAGGACATTTTTTCATAAAAAAAAATCGCCAACTACAGAAATTCTCTACCTTTTACAGCAGATCATACACCAAGCAACAATTCAAAAAAAAAAAAAAAAAAAAGGTTTTGCATGTGAATCTCATAAAAAATACTTGAGTTCTTCCAAAAAGAAAAACCCAGAGGTTCTCTAAAGCCATATGCTTTGTAAAGCACAGTAGAACTTGGCCACTTACCCAACACTCTGTTTTGGCAAAGCTGTGGAAACAAATTTSAAGGTTTCTGCAATAAGTTTTCAACCTGCTGACTAGCTAGAAGGCACTGTAGGCCAAATACCTGACGCATTATAGAATAACAGAGAGAACATATATAAAAACACCATCTGCCATATTTCCAAAAATATTCTTCAAATACAACAAGGCAGCCAAAGATTAATACTACGTTTTCCTCCTTTGGCATGCGGAACAATAGCATAGTTTACACGAAAATATGAGGCACTGGAGAGGTGCAATGGGAAAGATTACTAATATCCACATTTGCCCCCAGATGTGTGAGCTAATTTTAAAAGTCTCATTAGGATTTTTGCTAGGTTTCTCCAGTTCTCAGACTGGCAAATTGCTTTGAAATTAGAAGAAATTAGAAATAYACTATTATTATTTTTAAATACTTTCCTTTAGTACAAACACAAGCACAGATTTTTGTCTTATAAACCTCAGTTGGCTGAGGCACAGTTAGTAATTCCTTTCACTAGGAGATTTTGGCTAAGGTTACCATTAAATTTGGCATTATAAAATAATAGTACTGTACAATTTTATGATATTATGGTATTTGGCCAAACAGAGAGCACACTGCTCAAAACGCAAATTACCACTATATGTGAACAATGAACAGCTCTGTAGTAAAAGACAGAAATAGAGAAGGTCATAGGTCTCTTTTTCAAAATTTTCATACCTCCTTTTCACTAAGGAGGAAGGTTGAAATGGAACATGTGCTCATACGTGAGTTTACATGACATCTGACACATGCAGAGTCACAGAGCAAATTCCATGATCTTCTCATTTAAAAATTAACTAAAATCAACTTAAATTRAGTGTCCAAGGCTTTACTGGCTACTGTCAATGTGTTCATATCAGCCATCTGAGTAAAAGTTCCCAACATGCAGTTATCTTGGCTTTAGGGAGCATATAGCAATTCTAYAAAGAAAATTATTTGCTTTATTTGCTCCTTCCTGCCTCACCTGTGTAACTCTTCCTGGGCAACAGGCAATATTGGACAATTGTRCAATACCCCACCCCAGGTGTTTTAAAAAGGCCAAGCTTAGCTCCTTGGGAGTGARAAAGCACAAGGTCTCCCTCTCCCCTTTCCTCATCTCTCTAGGTTATGCCTATGGTTGCCTTTGCCTCCAAAGATGCCCTTCACAAGGGCAGAGAGAGAGCACCCCTGGATTTCTCCTGTCTTTGGAAAAAAAAAAAAAAAAGAAAGAAAATGAAAAAAAGAAAAAAAAAAAGGAGTTTTAGGCTCGATGGACCTTGTTCTCTCCCAGTACAGCTGACGTTCTTTTCCGAAAAAGCAGCTTGCGGAACAAACTGCTTCTATCACCTTCATTTAATCCATCACCTCCAGGAGTCAAGCCTGCTAGTTCCACTCCTAAAAACTTACAAAGATGCATTGTAAAAAGCTCTTGTCCCACACACTCTTTGTGTGAGCCTTCAGCTTAAAAGACATCTAATAAAAAGCAAAGTAAAGGACAAGGAGTAGAAAGTTGAGATGGTCCCAGAGCTCCTATCCTCTCTCTACKCTGGACTACAAGTACAGCCCCGCAGGATGCCAACTGGACACATCCTTTTTCCATTCCTTTCCATCCTTCCTCTAAATTCTTCTTTAGATCTGAATAAATAAATACAAATTTAAAAGGGTATTTGGAGAAAGATAAAATTGAGGAGCTGTTAGCAGTCTAATATTGCCTTGTGAAGTTCCACAATCAAAGGAGACAATGTGAAGTATACACAAAAATTGCAGGAATCACATTTCACAAGATCTCACCAATAAAAAGATAAACCCTGGTGTCTGGGGTATATCGTATCCCCCCAAATAAAAATTAGATAAAAACTCAGTAATCCATTGGAAAATAGGTGAGGTCCCTATAGACTAATCACTCACTCACAAAAACAGAGGTGAGAAAGAGAACAGGAAGAGTTAGACYATTTCTTTTTCTGAACAAAATAAAATGAACTATATCACGTACATGTGTGACAGACTGTAACTCAGCAGGTAGGCACTCATCTGTTTATATGCAATGAAGGAACCACTTTTGTCAGCAGACCTCAACCTTGTAAACAACTCTGAATTAGTAACATTAGTAACAAAAAGGAACTAAAACCTCAAAAACAAGCCCAACGCAAAGTTTCAATGGTTCCCTCCTACGAACAGAAGTTTGTTTCTTAATAATGTGTCTAAGACAACTCTTTAAGAGCGGAACTCCCATTTACCGGATTATCTGAAGGCCACCAGCATCCCACTATGAAGCTATGACAAATGTTCCTCTAGAAAAACAGAAGCAGCTTTTTCCTAATTCCTTGCAGTTGTGCTTGTGGCTTCTGAACACTTCTGTATTTGTCACTTACATACGGTGGGGATCTGTTACTCCGACATTTTTTTCTGCATGCTGTTTTGTTTTAGTTCAGAAACCTCCTAGAAATCTTGCAATGTCTTCATAAAGAAGTTATTCGTGCTGTAGCTGTTGAATTTAGTCTTCMTAGATGTTTGTTGTCACAGACCTTCTAAGGGAAATATCTACAACCACACATGGCTTTTGTTACTTACGGAGAATTTTCTCTGAGAATTAGAAGAAAGTCACCATTATACAAGCCTATATCCCTTATCAGGTGAATATGCACGTATATCATAAGAGAGTACAGGCATACACATACCTATGTGTATGAGCAGGCACAACGCTCTGCCCCAGCRGTAGGGCCCCAAGGCAAGGATATTTCACTAACCTGCAGTGGTCTCTGTTTATCACTGCCCTTAGGAGATTTCAGTCCACTTGTCTGTTGCTGTAAAAGCAGCTGTCTTGCTGCYTGGAGTGCCTAAAAGTAAGGGGRAAAAAAAAAAGTATGTAATTTCTACCATTTCCTAGAAAGACACAAGCTACTCAGGGTTAATGTTATGTAAAAGTCCATTTGAACAACGCAATCTCCTCCTGTTCAATTTGTATTTGATAGCCTTCAGAGTTAAGTTTGGTTTGTTTCACTTAAAACATAAAAAAACAAAAAAAAATCCTCTAAATGGACATATATGCGACTTCACTACAATTTATAGATGTACATGAAATCCTGCAGGAAATAAAGTTAATTTGTTTAAAGTGCTTGAAGAGGAAAAATCATAAACTGCATCAATAGCCTCATTTCCACAAGGAACTTGTCTTTGAGTGTTCAACTAAAATGCCCACTCCCTTGTAAATTATCATTCAATTTGCATTTTCATATTACAATTTTGAAGCAAAAGCAAGTAGACTTCAAGTGTTACCGGAAGCTGTAATTAAATTTGACAAATCAACATCAGATTATCTTGCAAATGAATTAATAAGGATATTCATTGAAGATTAAAAACACTTTTTTGTACTTACAATTCAAGGAGAAACCTCTCCTTTGACAAAATAAAGTGCAKTTTTAATGCCAAATAAAAATGAGTGGTTTTCATTTGCATTCTTAGGAAAATCAGAGAACAAAGAAATTACGACTTCACCAACCAGATCAGACTCTGGGGATGACAGTATCCCAATCACAATATAAAACGTTTTCATTTATTTTATGTTTTCATTCCAGCTCAGCAGAACACACTTAAACATATGAAACGTATACAAACACTGCATTACCCGAGAAGGCTACTGTAAATGATCTTTGCTGAAAAACCATTTTTAAAATGCAGCCGTATTTATTAAGAGATTAAAAAAAAAAGATTCAAATCCTTCACATTGGAAGTAACTGAAGAACTCTTCTCTTTTAAAGCCATTCGGTTCAGTAAGTAGCCATTACAGCCTTAAAATCCAGCACAGCTACGGATGTTATTAAAGCGAACGGTGGGCAGACCAGAGCGCAATAAATGCAACTTGATCGATAGTCCCTAAAATAATAAAGATTCGCCGACGATGAAGGAAGGTACAATTTTGATTAGACTCAAATGAGCTGTTTTTTAAGATAGTTTCCAGTATCCATGACAACAGTTGCTTTGACAAGATGTGCATATGGCATTACACTGCCAGCTGGTGTGAACAATGTTTGAACTACTGCATTGAGATGCTGAGCAAACAGAAAAAGTTGCCACGTCTTAACCCTCGGGGAAGGCAGTCATCCCCTGATCAATTATGAAAAGACAGAGCGGGGGCTGCTACAGTCTGGCTCCAAGCAAGTTCTCGGAGCAGGCAGGCAGACAGCGGCAGGCAAAGCAAACAACCCGAATGCACCAGCCCCAGCTCCTAACATCGATTGGTCTCCCCGCAGAAGGCCCTGGTGCAAAGTTTGCAGAGCACACTTTCCACATTTGGAGACATTCCCACAACAATCCGCTTATTGTTTCATCAAATTCCCCAGTAATTGCAGGTCAGCTTCGCAAAGGCTACGCATTCCTCCSAACCTAAGCAACGAGGCGCGCGGAGCCGGCTCCTCGCCTTCAAAAACAAATAAAAGTTAACATATTTGCAAGTAAGTGCCCTGCGAATATTTTGTTTCCAAGGAATCGCTGGATGCCCTGCTTCCTATGTGAGCGGCCTAATCTCTTCTGCAATCGCAGGTCCCGAGCAGATCCCGCAGAACAATCCTGCTCTGTCTGAGATCAGAGGGAAATATCCGGCGATTCCAGGGGCACCAGGATTTGGTCCCAACATCTTGCAGCGGTGGCGACACAAAACATGGATTAAATGCATGAACAGAAGATCTACAGTGAATTTATAATCCTTCCCAATCTTTAAAACTCTCTGAAAGGGAAACTGGAGTTAAAGAAAGAAAACTATTGCGCCTGTGAATTAATAGGAGCCTGTGCAGGAAASCCAGCCTCACTGCTCGGGATGCTGCTGCCACAGGAACAAGTGAGGAAATCTGGAGTTAAAGGAGATGGGAACAACCATAAAAACAAACATATATTTTTTTTTAATTTGTGGCAGCAGCAGGAAGTTCATTACAGGGACTTTATCAGTAAAAATCACAGTGATGCAGGACTGACGTATATTTTAAAATATCTGGAGCAGTGTGCAAGTTGTTTCAGAGTCCTAATCCTCCTCAGGAGCAAATACCTCTCACATCAATACAAATGCAAGCAAGCAAGCAAGCATCTGGCAAAGGTGTACATTCTCAGTACTTGAAAATTAGAGACTTAGGCTATGAAGAGCCTTAGCTTTAAGCTCGTGAGGGTAATTTCAAACCAGGGCTAGCACACTAGCATAGATTCAGTATAAGAAAGGATGAATTCCTACCACCAACTACAAAATGAAAAAAGCAAGGTAGCACAACAGGATATGTTTGCATAAAAGGCTCTACTACTTAAACTATTTTGATTTATATGTGCTGGTAGGGATATCTTTAAAGGAATAAAGGCTCATCTTTTAATACAGAATGTCTTATAAGTGATGACTACTGAATACTGCAGTGATCTTATTGTGGCAGTTTAGATTATTGTAAACACAGGAGATAGCACAGGAACAGAAAACAATTTCAGAAGATCAGAGATGATTTAAAACTCATAAAGAGAAATCACTGTCAGCCTTTGTTCTTAGATCAAGTATCACGTGGCATTTTTTTTTCTCCCAATATACTGCTTAACTTGAGATTTTGCTACTCAGTAAACAACCTCCCAGAAACACAGCGTTAATTTTGAAGAATTGTTTTTGCCATTTCTCTGGAGCAAAGATTAAKACACAGGAAAGTATTCAATTCATCTGCTGCTATTACATTTTTGCAAAATAAACTGCACCTTAAGATTGTCCCTCAAAATTAGTTACATGTACACTTCTGGTAAGCACCGGTCCCACATGTAACATAAAATTTTCTGTGAACTAACTGGATAAGAAAATGTGGTCTAATATCTAACAGATAGTTATAAATCGAGCAGATCAAAATTATGTTGAGTCCTACCTCAAATTAACAGCAGTGAGGAAAGATTTTGAGGCAGCCAAAACTGTATCCAGCTTCCAATAACATTTGTTTCAAATTTAGTGGGCACTTTTCCTTAATTAAGTTAGCTAAATTAGTAAAACTATATGGAAAAAAAAGAAGTTACTGTCGACAAAAACAATAAAAAGAACTGTGGATTAGAAATGATTTTAATAATGCAAATGAAAAGCATTATAATACTTTAAGTAACGCCTATAGGAACAGGAAATTTAGGCATATAGTTTCCAGAACTCACTGCATCTGGTAGTAAAATATATATAAAGAACAGTACTTGTAGGYATTTTCTGTAAATCTTTGGCATACAGCTACAATGAGAACAGAACAAAAAAGAAAATAATTGCTTATAATTCACTCTAATGGACTTGATAAATTGTGGTTTTTTTACTGTTTGTGGGTGATAATTCTATGAGACAAAATTTGATCTCATTTTGTATTCCAACCCTTTTTATTTAATTTAAGCATGTCTCGAAGTAATTTCTAAAGAGTTATCACTTTAATAAAGTGAAAGCTCCAATACAGGGAGGTAAGCTGATTACTTTGTTCCCTTAAAATATAAATATATATGTATTTTTAGGAACAGATGTCACTCATATCTCTCTTTTAAAAATAGGAATGTTTAACCTATCAGCCTGTTGCATTTGAGACGTTAAAATGAAAAATGACATCTACGCCCATTAATATCGTCAATGTATAAACAGCACAGCGTGACACATTCTTGAGAGCTGAAGGCTACAAAATCTTTCTGAAACATAAATAACAAAGCACTCAGAAGCATATTTGATGTTGATATTCATCTCTGAGAAAAACACTGCTGCCTGGGCTTCTTATGAAAATAGATGCAGCCCAAATGGATCTCCTGTAATTGGTTTCAGATAGCGAGGTCAAAAGAAACATGATACAAGAAACTATTATGTGGAACAGGCGAAACAAGAATGTTTATACAGGCACTCCCTATTTATACTGACAAGAGGTGTATACTTTGCAGATAACCAGAACCAAAAAACTTGCCAGAAGACAACCAGATTCTTTCATTTTTCTCAGTCCAAATTCCTATCTTTTATTTTTCAAGTGACTGCATCCTCTAGCACTGTCTACTCAGGATAAAATAAGTTTCTGAACATAAAATAAGTTTCCAAATGGCTGAATATGTCAAACGAGAGTCAGTTTGCTGGTAGCACTATGCAACCGAAACATATCAACATGCTAAGCTGGATTTAAGGCCAGAGACTGACTGCATTGCCCTGGATGAATAACAAGTTAACCAAATGATTACACAGCCACATTTATTTATAAAAATCACTTCGGTAGAAGCTCTGTTGCCCTTACATCCTGCTGTGTGTCCACTCTCCAGCTGGCTCAGAAGGAGAAGCCCAGAATTACCTAGTCATATGAGAGCCTTCAAAGACTGTGACACAAAGCTCACGCCCTTCAACTCTTCCTAATAGCATTCACATGATACTGCTGCACCTTTTCCTCTCACTGCCTGTATTTCCTCTGCAAGTCCTCTAGTGAAATTGCACCCAATCAGCAYGGCCACTTTTAGTCTTTCCAAACAGAGCAGCAAAGCTTATAACACTATTCAAAGACTTGTCCGTTTCAGACGATTCAAGTCCTTTCCAACTGAAGCCGGGAAGTCTCTTTGGGAGACCTGACAGGAGGAGTAAAATCSCATGAGGCTTGAGACATCCATATCTACCTGAGAGAACAAAATTCCTTCCTAACCTGCAAAGGGGAACAATAAAACCCACAAGCAGGCTGGTTTCAGATGGAATCACAGAATGAGTGAGTTTGGAAGGGATCATGGAGTACAACCCCACTACACAAGTGAGGGAAAGTAGGAGAACTCACACAGTGATTAAGTGAACTTCTGAATACGTTTGAGAATATTTATTGCATCAGCACTACAGGGCTTTGCTCCAAAA